GCCTTGGTGTAGTATTTTTGTTTGTTTTCTGATCATGGCTAATTAGAGCTCTGTATGCCTCAATTCTTTGTATGTCAAGTTCTTTTTCCATGGCTCAGGATTTTTCTGCCATGTTCACTTCGGTGAACAACTTTTTAAAAATGTTTTCTGTGCCCTGCTTTTTCATTGATTCTGATCAATCTTATATTATTCTTTCTTTCATCATCTAGCAGCTGTTGGATTTTTGTGGTTTCTTGCTATTTTAAGAAGTCTAGGGCTGGCCAAATAGCTCAGTGGATTAAAGCACCTGCTTAGGCAGATGCAGGGTCTGGAGGTTTGATCTTCAGTCCTGCTGTGCCGGCCCTGTCCCCGGGGCATGCTGAGGTAGCCATTGAGACTGGTTGTGGTGGTGTGTGCCTGTAATCTCAGCTCTTGGGAGGATGTAAACAGGTGGATCACTATGAGTCCAATCTACTCAGTGAGACCCTATAGACTCTTACTAAAATAAAAAAAAAAGTCTGTCATTTTATAATTGCTATCTGTCAACCTGTCTTCTAGATGTGATATTCTGTCCACATTGGTTGATTCTGCTGTGTAGACTTTCAAAAGAATTTTTAATCACTTGGATATCTATTTGGATCCATTTCAGGGAATCTATTTTTTTCCTATGTTGGTCATTCATGGTGTCCATCATTTTCTTAAGTTGGTCAATCTTTTTTATCTTTATCTCCTCTAGATTCACTAACCATCTCCTTCATTATGGTCACCTTCTCTTTAGTATCTCAGAAATTATTTCTTCTTTTTTTCTAGAGCCTCATTCACCTGCTTTGTTACTTCTGTTGCCACCATTTCAAAAATCTCAGGTGGGTGAGTTTTTTACTTCTTTCACTTAACTGCCCTCTGAATTTGCCTTGGATGAGATAGAGTTGTGTTGTGTTGGGTCTGGGGTTGTGTCTTGCTTCTGTATCTTCTCATTTTCTACTTTAGAAATTAATTTTCATCATTGATGCTTCTAAATTGCTTATGTTAGGCAGCATTATTGTGAATATTGAGACCTCCTTAGAAAATGACTACTTTTGAGAGATATATTTTAGTTGTAGCTGGTCTTCAGCTTTGAGTCTATCCCAAGATCCTACATATTCAACTTATTAGGACTGAGAAGCTCCTGCCCATTTGGCACTCGGTTCTTTGGTACTGGATTATAGTATTGACTATGATTTTTAGTCAATCTCAGTATTGACATGCAAAGAAGGGCTGAGGAGATAGCTCAGTGGTTTAAGTGCTGCCTAACAAACACAAGGTCCTGAGTTCAATCCCTGGCACCAAACAAAACAAAAAACTAACAGACATGCAAAGAATGACAGATCACAACAACTATTTGACTTTGGCTAACTTAGTAGTACAATAGCATCAAGCACAGCCTCAAAAAAAGACAAACTGTAGAAACTATTAATTTGCCACCTTTAACCATAGCTTCAAGATTTATATTTATATCACAAAATCTAAAACAAACCAGAAAATTATACACAGTAAATAGCTCCTCAATAGGGTAATTTTATCCTTAGGAGGGCAAATTTAAAAAGGGTAAGAGAAAAAAATAGAGAAGTAGAAGAAAATATAATGATTAGAAGCAAGGTTTAAGGAGAAAGGGAAATTACCCAAGCTTTGGCAAACTGAGGGAGAAGACAGGATATGGAGGACCACGAATTAGAAACGGGCATAGTATCTGTCTGAGACCCTCCTTAACCTGCCTTGTGGGCTGGTATTGGAGTGCATCCTACTTCCTCTTGTTCACTGCTGAGATCTGCATGGCCAGTGAGACTGTAATGCTCACAGAGCAGGATGAAGTCTGTGGAGGACAATACAGAGGGACCTAGTGTCCAGTGTGGGGATGAATCTTGTTTCTTTCATGATGTTAATCTTGCCTGTTCAACTACTGCTTCTGTGCTATTCCAGGAAAAGCACCCTCCCACTGCCCCTGCACTGGCTAATAAAATAGTGCTAGCTGGAGATTCTTGATCTCTGTTCCCAGAGAATGTTGATCACCCCGTAGCCCTATTTCCTTGCAACTCTTGTTTCTTGCTCTTTTTCTTGCCATGTGCTATAACTCTGGGCAGGAAATTGGAATCTCACTGTAGGGATCCCTAGTAACTGGTGCCATGGAAAGGGTCACTAATATCAAGAAAGAAAGAAGAAATAACTAAATCAAAAAAACCCCATAAAAATCAGTGTTCACATTCACACACAAAAAAAATAAGAACAATCTAGAAAAAGATCAAAGAAATGAAAGCAAAAGTATCCTTCACAGCGGATACTGTCACTAGGAGACAGCTAGAGACCAGATCTGTCCTGGACATTCCCAGCAAGCCTGCAGTGGAGTTAGGGTGCTGTGCTGGATAATTCCCACAAGCTTGTGCTTTCAACTCCACAGAAGCTCAGACCTGTCCTCATCTCTGGCTGTGAGAATCGGGCCCGAGTTGTTCCAACCACCACACTATGGATGTCTCTTGCTGGCTTGAAATTGGCTTTCTGACCCTGGACATCTCCCATAGCTGCAACTTTTCAGACAGTAAGATCCCCAAAATGAAGCCAACCCAGAGCTGCTCTGAGTCCCAGATTCAACTGGCCCTTCTCCAAACAGCAGCCAGCCAATTGCCCCCACCTTGGATGTTTGGACTGGAGCCACTCACCCCTGCTGCAGCCCACAGCATCCACTGGTCCTTCCATTTGTGTGTTTCTTCAAGGAGGCCTCTGGAGCTAACTGCAGTAATCATGCCTCTAGACTTCAGCTGCTTCTCTCACAGTAAGATGAGAGTCAGGGAGAAAGTGCTATTTCCAGCTCCCTCTTCTGCATTAAGGTCACTCTCTTGACTCCCTGTGGGTGGGCTAGTTCTCCCTTCAGATCCTTCCTGGGTCCTGGGAATCCATCCTTCTCTGACCAAAGTTGTATTCTGGTATCTGCACTGAATCTCAGAGAGGCTGCTTTGCCACTGATCACCACTCCACCATCTTCCTAGAAGTCTATGATGGGGCTGGGGAAGAGACAATTAAACTTGAGAGTTATTCAAGGCAAACTTCAAAAGAAGGGCATAAGGGCATATGCCTATAATTCCAGCTACTTGGGAAGCTTGAGTGAAGTCTGTCCACTTAATGAGGCCCTAAATAAGAATAAAAAACAAAAAGCCCTGGGGGGCGCACTGGCAGGCAAACATGCCCGTAATTTCAGCACTTGAGAAACTGAAAACAGGAGCATCACTGAGTCCGATTTGTGTAGTGAGACCCTGTAGACCCTGCTAAATTAAAAAATTAAATTAAATTAAAAATCAGAGGAAAGTGAACAATGATGTAGAGTGTGTCTAAGGAGAGTCACCTGGAGAGAAAACATTCTCTCAGGCTTTCACAGAGAGCAAATTGGTCAAGCAATGGCTGTGACTCATCCACATGACTGATACTTACAAAAAATCTACAAACTGCTGTACAGGGTTTCAGGGTAAATCCTGAGATTTTTAAATTAATTTTATTGAGAAAATAGCAATGAGACAGTTTCAAAACTGATTAATAGGACAGTTTCAATAATTAATACATTGCATACTTTTGTCTTTGTAGTGGTTATTCATAGTACAAGATGCAGACACGATATCCTGTCCAAGCACTATTAGTGCAAATCTTTCTTCTCATTGAATTAAGAGAAAGTAGTTATATTTCTATCCTGTTTTGTATATACAGATACAAAATGGTCCTTCATTTTTATCCCCTTTTTTGTTTAGTTTTGTCAGAGAAGGGTATTCCATTGCCATTTAAATACTGTACGTGCATGAATTCAGCAAAATAATCCAATATAGTCCAGTAGTCCTTAATAGTAGTGGGTTTTCCATAGGACTGGCAAAGTCAGAAGTTGTTAGACTTGAGCCTTTTACAGCTCAGCATATTAATATGGCTTTATTTTTCATACCTCATTATTATACTTTTCTGCTGGATGGTTGAGATCAAGATAAAGCAAGACCTATATAACAAGAAATGTAACTTTTGTATCTGACAAGGTCAGTCAAATCCCCTGAGGATTTACCGTGAAACCCTGTACGGCAGTTTGTAGATCCTTTGTCACTATCAGCCATGTGGATGAGTCATGGCCATTGCTTGACCAATTTGCTCTCTGTAAAAGCCTGAGAGAATGTTTTCTCTCCAGGTGACTCTCCTTAGGCACACTCTACATAGTCAGTCACTTTCCTCTGTGGCCCCATAATCTCCTTGATCAGAAAATTTGGGACATCATTGAGTTACAGGATGTTATAGTACAGGTTCTCTTATGTCCTGAGTCTGAGGAGATTTGACTGACCTTGTCAGATACAAAAGTTACATTTTTAGTTATATAGGTCTTGGTTTATCTTGGTCTTAACCATCCAGCAGAAAGTATAAACATGAAATATGAAAAGTGAAGCCATATCAATATGCTGAGCTATAAAAGGCTCAAGTCAACAAACTCTGACATCACCAGTCATGCAGATAACCCACTACTGTTATGGACTACTGGACTATATTGGATTACTTTGCTGAATTCATGCACCTACAATATATGAATGGCAATGGAATACACATCTCTGACAAAAGTAAACAAAAAAATACAGATATAAGTGAGGGCCATTTTGTAGTGAAAAAATACATGTATCTGCATATACAAAATATTTAGCATAGATATACAGCTACTTTCTCTTAGTTCAATGAGAAGTTTTGAACTAATAGTGTTTAGACAAGATATCATGTCTGCATCTTATACTACGCATAACTACTACAAAGACAATATGCAATGCATTATTATTACTGTCCTACTAACCTGTTTTGAAACTGTCTCACTGCTACTTCTTTCTCAATAAAATTATATAAAAAAAGAATAATGTATGGGATAGTACATGTGGTGGACTCAAAAACTGAAGCTAAAATATACCTTTCTGTAGCTGGAAAAGAGGGAATATTTAAAACAAGATTTTGCACTCTTAAATTTTATTAAACAATGCAAGGTAGGGATATAAAAAATGACAGTTGGAGAAAAAAGAATTTACAATATTTTATGATTATAAAATAAATTCTTAGGCATGATAATGGAATTTTTTAGCATTTATTCCAAACATCTCTTATTTGGTTGACTATAAATTCAAATGTAGACAAATAAACCTTTTACTTTTCCTTTGCAGTGTTGTAGGTATTTAGGTTAATAGTCCCGGTAAGATGTACCTAGCATAACATAATTTAACATAAAACATTTTCAGGATTTATGGATCAGGATGTTATAGTTTGAAAAACATTTGTTTTGGGACTGACTTTTCTTATCTAAGTCGTCAATATATAAGCTCATTCTCATTCATTAGAAAAATGTCTACCACATCAACTTATTTGACCACATAATCCCTTTCCCAACAAATCTTGAGCAAAACATTGCCTATAGAAATTGGAAAATGTTTGTCATTTAATATTTTTATCTATATTTTGGTAAATATTAACCAGTAAACATATTTTGTCTGTATTTAAAAAATTATTTTAAAAAGCCCTAGGAAGTAGCTTACAAACAGAATGCCTTAGGAACCTAGGACCATAAAGATATATAAATGAAAGCTGCAAAGAATGGGAAAATTGTTTTGAGATCCTTAAACAATGAGCAAGATTTGCTAAGAAAGACTGACCAAGTTTCAGGAAGAAGAAAAGCAGACTTTCCTTTACAACTTTGTACATTCCAGATTAGCTATAGCACTGTTACAGGTCAGAATCCGAAGAGGGGAAAGGCTGGAATGTTGGTAGGGCCTATTGTGGAGCCACCCGAGACATCAAAATTTCCAGCTGGAAATATCTATACGTATAGTTTAATATGGTAATTTCAGTATTACAATTACATGGCCTGACCAGTAAACTTTTAAAGCTAGTCTTTTTACCAGTACAGTACATTCTAATTTATAAGTTGTCCTTTGTATAGTATTTCGCATTAGTTTTATTTCTGGTTCACCATATCATTCCACAATTGATTTGTAATTTTTAATAGGCCAGTGATTATAATTGTTAGCTGAATTTTTTCACTTACCATGTTTTGACACTTAACATTTCAAATGTTTACTATCTTTAATTATACTTTTCTTTTAAAAAGTAAGACCTTGTTCAACAAGTCCAGAAGAAACTATTATATATTAGGTTATTCAGGAAACTTGAAGTTATAGTTGTACATGATTTTATTTTGTAACATAAAAGATCTGGATGTTGACACGTAGGTCTTCATTTGTGCATTTTTAAAAAATGTATTTGGTACAGGGTATAGCGATGCAGCTCAGACTCATGGTGATCCTCCTGTGCTCAGCCTCCCCAGCGCTGGGATTACAGGCGTGCAGCACACCTGATCTCTGGCTGGTTCACCATGCCCCAGGTGGGGCCAGCACAACACATGGTGCCAGAGATCAAACCGCGGTCCCTGTACTTGCCTAACAAGCACTTAGTCCGCTGAGCTATCTCACCGGCTCATTTATGCTATATTTTGCAAAGTAAAATATAATTAAAACCCACTGACTACCAGGGCAAAAAGAATGAGAAACCTGAAGACACAGAAAGTCATGTAGGCCATCCAAGGCTGTACGAAAGGTCTACCATTAAAAGCAACAGGAAAGCAAGAGAATGGATAGATTTCTTACAACACCATTCTTTATTACAAATTTCTTTAACATCAACCTCATCATCCTGTGCACTTTATAGGATATATCAATTTTTTATATATAATACTGTTCAAAGTCCAATTCAGGAAACAAATTTCCCAAGATAAAATTAAACCTTGACTCTGCCTAGATATAGCGCATCAGTAGTACCGTTTAGCCATCAATTCTCCCCTTACTTGGAGAGCGGCTACCCGTGAATTCTGCATAGCACGTTCTTAGTTTCCAAGTGCTTATTCATCTTGGTAAACTGAATACTTCTCCTCCTCTAACAGGGTTTCAGTAAACTTTTCTTGAAAGCTGTTACTTCTTACTACAGGAACATTCGATATCCCATATTTGAAATATATTGCCACTGCTCTCCCTTGAGATTCTTTAAAAGATGAGATGAAGAGATGAATATATTCTATAAACCTCTGATCAGATTTAAGACAGTGCGTTTGGTTTTTGCTTGGCAGTGCTTGGCATTCAAACGAGGCCTTGTGCATGCAAGGCCAAGTACTCTCCCACTGAGTAACAATCCCAGTTCCTACTTCGCTTTTAAAGATGACACTGCTGCACAACATCGGAGTACTTTCTCATACAAGTAAGACAAAAGCACCACTGTAACAAAATTCAAATGTTTAATTTTTTTCAAAACTTAACTATACTAATAAAAATAAATTATATTTAGACCACCTTCAATATTTGTACATCATCTTCATACACTATAACAATGCTCTCAAAGACATTTCTAGAGTATATTAATTTCACAATTAAAATGTGTTTCAAAAATAGGGCAACATTAAGGAACGTTAGTCTGAAATATATCTCAACGTTGAGAGGTATATTGTTATTTATCAAATTAACTGTATTTGTATTCAAAATAACATGGCTTTAACCTAATTATTTCTTGTCCATTTCAGTGATTTCTTGGATCCAAAACAAAATCTGTGTATTTATTTCTTTGAAAACATCATTTGTTGACCGTCCTTTCACTGCCATGGAGTGATTTGCCTTCTCAATCCAGTGGATCTTATTGGGAGCTTGCATTTTCTGGGCCACCTTCTCCAGTAAGTTCTAAGGGAGGGAAGCAAAGAGGATACTAGACATATGGTTGCAACATTTAATTTAAAAAAACCCTCTCTCCCCTCAGCCCACAGCAACACCTATTCACCAAGGACTCATCTACTCTGCAGGTAACTTTCTAGGCAATGAGCTGTATCAGGAAACGTCCACAGAAGTGGCAATCCACCTCTCTCAGGTACAGATCAAGCATTTGTTACTGAGAAAAAATAGACCCACAAACATTTAAGAACAAAACAAAAAAACCTTCTTCAAGTAAGTTATATATATGCTCTACAAAATAGCTGTTTTGTATACTGGCCTAACAGTCAGTAAAGGCTGCACACTGCTAAGCTGATCCTTTCTCAGGAGTCAATTTTATAACAACCAGACGGTTGACATGATAAATAGTGTGCACTCTAGAAATGACAGCATTCAGATATGAATTTTTCTTTTTTTTTTTTTTTTT